ATGCAATTTCAGGGCCACCAACCCTGCTCTGAATTGCAACCTCCTGTGCTTGAAACGAGCTGCAGATTCTCTTTGCTTTGATGATCTGGATGTTTATGCGCACCTAATATTACAATTCATCAGCAGAGTTGCGACTTGATCACAGAGCCATCCTTACCCTAGAGGTGGGATCATTGCAGGCAAATTTTCGGCTAACATGGCAGCCTTCTCTGGTCTGAGGGAAGATTAGTGAAAGTGTCATTGACGATTGATGCAGTCTCGATAAACTTCCAGGGCCATGCGCCTCCCCCCTGGTATCGAAGGCATCATCATATCCATAGGGCGGAGCAGGTCAGATTAGCCTTGTGTACATGAGGAATGTGTGAGAATGACTGTAAAGTGTTCAAGGTAGCGTGTGTGCTTCAACATCTGTAAATTTCCGATAATCAAACATCGCATATCAAATTGTTTCTTTTTAAACGGTGTATTGCCTTGACATCTTGTAATTATATATTAATAATAGTATTATTATTATTATTAACGATTACGAAAAGCAAAATATTATCAATGAAAAATCTTGTAATTACCCAACAAGATCTGCTCCGCGTTTGATTCCAATTAAAATATTTATAATAATCAAAAAATATCAATCAATACAAATAAAAAATAGCACCTCTGGTTAGTTATTAACACGTACTCTTTAGGAGACCCAAACCAAACCAAACCAAACCAAACAACAACACTCACGTTTTGTCACCATGGACTCTGTCAAAAAATAAATAAATTGTTTTTCCAAAAAAAAAAATCAGTCAATTAATTCGCGTCTGTCCTACCAAAAAAAAAAAACCAATTACTATCTATGTAGTCTCCGGGGTCCTGTATTTACATTATGTCATTAATTAGAGTGAATTATCCTACCGATACCCAAAGATCGACAAGATCGATAAGGGATATCCCTCTTGTATATTTTCCCAAGCTGAGGCTCTATAAATTTGTAAAATCAAAAACAAACAAGATGTTTTATGACTTAAATATTCCTTATTCCACACAACTAGATATTACAAATCAACAAAATGAACTTTATAAAAAAGTTGCTTTGCTTACAAAATGTAACCTTGTAATTTTTTAGTATTAAAAATATATTAAAATATTTAACTTTATTTACTTTAATCTAGTTGGCTATCAAGTAATTGCACATAATCATACAATTATCGGAAAAGTCAACCCTAACAAAGTATTTCAGTTTTTTTATTTATAATAAAATCTGATATAAGTTACATGGCTAAGAAAATATTTGTATTTGTTTAGAGACAAATCCCATCAAAAAATTTGATATTTATGAAAATTCTGGAAGAGATGTTAAACTAGAACAATTAACCAGACTCACTGTAGTACTTGAAGATTCAAGTCAAAATTATGGATTGGTAATTAGTATTTAAATATGATGATAATATTTGACGTATTATATATATATATTACATTACCTATTATCATTAATTTTATCTTATTTTTTTAAATTAACAGACATCATCAAACAATACAATTCTATCATATGATATTTTTGCTGTCCAACCAATCAATGAAAAGTCATTTCAAAATACTTGTAGTAATTTTGATGTAGATATCATATCACTTGAGATGGGATCTCGCTTGCCATTTTATTTGAAGCATGGTATGGTAGGTTTGGCAATTGATTGTGGTATATTCTTTGAGATTTGTTATTCTCCAACCATCAGAGGTTTGTTTACTGATTTATGCCTAAATTAAAAAACTTTTGATATCAACATTTTATTTTATTTTATTTTAATTATTATGATATCTCAAATAGATTCTATATCTAGACAACATCTTATTTCAAATGCTCAGAATTTGGTTAGAGTTACTTGTGGTAAAAATATCATTATCTCAAGCGAAGCACAAAGAGCAATAGAATTACGTGGGCCATATGACATTATTAATTTGTAAGAAATTTAATATTTTATTTAATATGTAATTTTTTTTCATATGAATGTATTAAAAATTTGATTTCCTTTTAAAACAGAGGTACAATAATGGGCATGAATCAAGCTTTATCCAAAGATTGCATAACTACAAATTGTCGGGCAGTTGTGATGCATGCAGGTAATTTTTTTTTTTATAAACTACAAGTTTATTTTAATTTCTAAAAAATTTTTACATCCATGCAAATATATATTGTATATGTATTGTAAATTTAAAAGCTACTCGGAGAAATGCACATAAGGCTGTTATTTCTTTTAAACCAGTTTCTTCATTGAAACAAAGTGACTTATGGAGGATTGAATGCGAAAAGAAAAAATTGGAAAAAATAGAGTCAAAAGGCAAAAGAATAAAAATTGAATAAAGATTTGATTACTGACGAAGAATCCATGTATAAATAATAATAAAAACCAGTTTGGAACAATAAAATCATCCATTTTTACCATGATGTCACAACTAGCGGGTGGTATTATTATACACTTCCTGGTCATAAATATAAGGACACTTGCAGATCATTGGAAATAATTGAATAAAGAAACATGAAAAAAAATA